TATATATATATATATATATATATATATATATATATATATATATATATATATATATATGTATATAAATCGTACTTGTGTTGTCGCATTATCTGCCTTCTCAACGAAACGATTTGTGCATCCGCTGTTCTCCCAGGAGCGACGGAGCTTTCTCTCTGTATTCCTTGTGCTTCTTGCGTCGACGAGCTTGATGCGGCGGCATTTTCATGACTCGATTGCGGCGGTTGTCGCTTCATCGTTATTTCTCAAAAGTGTTCGCGCAACTTAATCGCAGGAGCACCACAGGAAGACTTTCGTTTAAAACCCCTAAATAATTCGATCATCGACAGTCCGACTGTGTATTAGATAATGCATTATCCGCTAAAGACGTGTCACAATTGTACGATGTGAGAATAATAACATATTTTAATCTTCTTAAGTAAGCAACAATTTTATTACAAAATGTGTCTCTCTCGAATCACAAGCACCGGTAGGATTAAGACGAATTCACTTCACCATAAAATCACGTTCGATTCGATTTTATGTTTTGCACATCGGGAGCGACGCGCGTGAACAGTCGCGGGAAATTGCGCGAGATCCAATATTCCGGATTTTATTCAGATTACGTTGGCCAAAAATAGAATATTATAATACTGCGTAATAATATTATAATATCGCTTACAGTGCGTGTATCGCAGCGATCGCGAGTGACTAACTGATATAGTGTAGAAGTGATATAAAGAATATAGATACATTTTATCACATCCCACCCGTCAATACATTCGAATCACTCGTGGCGATAAGATAAAAATTCAAATCTATCCGCTATTCTCGCAATGAGGATTAAGAATCTTCGAGGGCCATGGTTCGATATTGTGGAATATGACCTCGATTGAGCCACTCTTACAAAGCTTAGAAACTTACGTATTATTTTATCATGTTGGATCGCTTGTGTTTCAAGTCTTAGATTGTCCAAGATTCAACACGCTGCATGCCATGTTTACGAGCGTTGATAACTTACCTGATAACGAAATAAATAAATTAAAGTTGCGATAAATAAATGTAATTTACGAGGTATCATATATCTTGTACATTGTTTCTATAACTTTCTATAATTATCAGATCTAATCAACGTATTAAGTGCAATTGACTGTATCTTATGTGTAACTTATTGAAACGTTCCAGTAAAGGTTAAACAACAGTAGCATTAATGTTGTATTTTCCGCTCAACGATATAACTGTTATATACAATACGTGTTATATTGCAGACAATATAAATTACTAAAAAAATAGCTTGAAGACGTTCAAAAGATATTTTTAAAAGAAATAGGACGTCTTTTGAAGACCTTCAAGTTATTTTTTTAGTAGATTGTGTTGCCTGGGTACATTGTTAAGTGGGAAATTGTAATATTAATGTAATGTTACTGTTACTTCATGTTTACCGGGACGTAATTCAACGGTGCCGGTCATCGGTAACCGTCACGGAATTCAACGTGTTAATTTGAAGATAAAGTCTTTATTGAAAAAGTGGTGCACAAGAAATTAGTCGAGAAAAAGCGATACCGAGAGAGAACAAGAGACAATGCACGCATGAAACAATTGTAGTAGTAAATTAAAAGTTATAGGCTCTTGAGACTTTTATCAAAACAAACAAAGAATAAGGCAAATAAGAGTCAATTGCCGATCTTAAAGGCGAAAATCATGTTTTTCCGATCTTATTTTTGCTTAACCTAGATTGAAATTATTGTTACATTGATTCTTACATTATAGTATATATAAGATATAGGTATTTTTCCTTTGCTTTACTGATCTTTATATACGTGCCTAATTTTTACGTATCACTAAGTTCGTTTGAGTTTCGCAGTTCGACTGTTAGTTAAGTTTTTTAAATTGTTTCTTTGGCAACCCTTATAGAAATATCATACTAAGAATCATTGATAATTACTTATTTTCAGTATTAAAAATACTGAATAATAAGTAATTATCAATGATTCTTAGTATGATATTTCTATAAGGGAACTTATAGTAATTTGGTTTTGAAAAAAATTTTTTCTTATTAAATATTAAAGCAGTCAATCTGTTAGACTTAATATTACTTTTGCTTAACTTGGTTTGCTGTTACGCCGTTTGCGTGACTTATAAGTTTTTCAATTGCGACTTATGCGAAAAAATTTTTTGTAACTATTGTAATTGTTACTGAAAAGGGTCCGAAACAGAGCCCAAAACGTCTGAATTTTGTACTTAAATAAATATATCACAAGCCTTTATTAAATTGTGATTTTCGCCTTTAAGATCGGCAGTTGGCTCTTATTTGTCTTATTCTTGATTTGTTTTGATAATTGTAACAGTACTATATGTGCGTTGTTAGATACAGTTATATTAATAAATTATAAGGCAAGTACTAACAGAAAATACCGTACGATCAAATCACATTGCGATTTCACCGCGCCCTTGCTGAATGGTTTCGCCATCTTTGGTTCATCGGCCTGAAGTAAACGGCGGACTGTTTCACGAGATATCTCGCAGATCGCGCTGACGCTCGCGACGCTATGTTCACGTGCCTCACTTGGGCTCTGTGTTTTGTTCCTGCAATAGTTGTATCGCGTCGGTCGCGCGTACCTTGAGGAAAAAATTTCTGGGAGGACGATGACACGCAGCATCTCACGAAGTAGCGTCCGATGGGTGACTCGAACTAGGTGATACGACGACGCGGCTACGAAGAGACATTTACCGATCGTGTTCACGTAACTATTAACCCTTCTTTTTTGGACTTCTCTGAGAGTATTTCGTCGATTTAGAAATAAAAGTCGCTGAAAACAATTGAAGCATATTAGACTATGTTAAATTGACTATGATAAATTGATGAAACAAATTGGCAAAAATAAGAAAGAGATGTGTAAAAATTAAATAAAATATAAAGTTATATTATTGTGGTTATGTTTATATGTGAGATTTCTCTTGAAATTTCTGAGGATATTTTGTATTTATTGAGTCATGTCGATATATCCTAGATTAGCAGAATAAGGAACACGGGTTAAATGCCCTTACGCAAGGTGCTACTGAACCTGACACTCCTTGCATTGCTCCTGGTGGCCTTCTACTACTATCAGACATCCAATGGTGGACATTGGATTGTGCCTAATCCACAAGTCAGAAATGCAACCTTGGCAAATTTTACATCCGCCTTAGCAGTGGCCAGTGACACCACTGATATCAGTTATTCATCCTCAATAGCTAATATTTTACAGCGAAAGGATACAAATTACTACAATATCTGGTGCATCTTCACCAAAGTTACTTCAAACTCACCCATGGAACACAAATTCCAGATATTTACAGACTCCTTGCTCAGACTGACTTCTGTGGATGTTGCATTTCATGTGATAAGTGATGATGACAGTCGAAACAAAGCAGAAACTGTTATTCAAAATGTTATGAGTGGAACTAGGAAGTTTATGAAGGTATACCTTTTGCTTTTACCTATATGTTCCTTCTGTAAATTAGATTATCAAATGTTAAATATATTCTCGTGTATAAAGCATAATCATTAAAATCTTTCTATTACAATTTTAGATATATAATGTAAATATAATGTATATATATATATATATATATATATATATATATATATACGTGTGTGTGTGTGTGTGTGCACAAGGTGCTTCAGAAATAGTTTGCCAAACTTTAGGAGCATATTTCACTCATTGTAAGGATGAAAAAAGTCAAACATGGGTTCGGAAATACTTCCTTTCATAGTTATAAACATTTACTATTTATAAACTTTTATAAACATTTATTATTTACATTATACGTATTTACGTAGGACGACGTTTCTCGCTTCGATGTCTTAAGACTCTTTATGATACTCCTGTTGCTACTGTGGAAATACTCTAAAATCGTATTATCACTTCGTGTAACAAAATACGAAATACTCTGGGAATTTTTGAACATCTTTGACAATCCATGCGACGTCGATACGAGGCATGCATTGATACAGAAGGAAATCATTTCCAGCAATTTTTGTAATGAAATATTCTTACAGTTTAAATGTTGTTAAAGTCTGTAAGTAAAGTAAATAAGAAATGTTTATAACTTGGAAAGGAAGCGTTTCCGAACTCATGTTTATGTGACTTTTTTTCATCTTTACAATGAGTTAATATGCTCTTAAAGTTTGGTCAACTATTTCTGAAGCATCCTGTATGTATATCTTGTATTATATTTATATATTTGTGATTTTGTAATATCTATCTTATATCAGAATCTTTGTATCTTTTATATATTGTGCCAAGTTTTAAATTTACTATTGTGTAATTTTGTAGATTTTGCATTTTTATAAACTGCTTTTTTAATATCGACTCCTATCAGAAATTTCTCTTTATTTCTTATTAAGTTTGAACTTGTTTCTTTGTATAACTACAACTTTTTGTTCTATCTATTCGCAGGTATTTTATTACGATGTGCACAAACTGGCTGCTCAACTGGAGGATATCGTGTCGATTATGTCCCCGCACTTCAGCAGCAATCCAGGAACATACTATTCCGATGCGTTGTTCTTCCTGTCGTTGGGATTGCACAGAATTGCACCCAGCGATCAGAAGCTTGCCGCGATGTTCGACGCGGATATGAAATTCCGCCGAGACGTGAAAGATCTGTTCGAGGAGTTCAATAACTTCGACAAGGAAGCCCTATTCGGCCTGGCGCCAGAGCTCAGTCCAGTTTACCGCCATGTTTTGTCCTCATATCGTAATAATCACCCGCATACTTTGTTCGGCGAGTCTCGTCACAAAGGCGGATATCCTGGCTACAACAGCGGAATGGTGCTCTTCAATTTGGAAAAATTACGGAAGTCGCGCGCCTACAACGAGATCGTTAGTAAGGAGAGTGTGGATGCAATAACGGAGAAGTATCGCTTCAAGGTGAATAAAAATAGTCTCATGGCAGTCTTATTACAATTTGTATAATCAGAGAAATTAATTCTCATTAAAATATTCAAACATTGACTGCGTTCAGCAGAGAAAGCTGCAGTGCAACTGCTGTAAAATTTATGAATCTGATTGATAATATATGCTCTTGTATTCAGTCAAGATTAACTAGATTAATTAGATTCACGAATTTTATAACAGTTGCAAAAAAGCTTTCTCTGCTGAACGTAGCCATTAAAATGCATCGAATTAACGTTATGAGAATATATACGTAAATAAAGACGAATATCATACATATTGCTATTAAAAACTGCTATTAGCTAAAGTGTAATGACATATTAATATTTGAAAATGGATATTTTTGTACTATTGGTAGTGATTCGTCAGAAATAATTAATCAAACTATTTTACCTCATTGCAGGGCCACTTGGGCGATCAAGATTTCTATACGCTTCTAGGTATGGAAAAGCCGGAGCTCATCTACACTGTCGATTGCGGATGGAACAGGCAGCTCTGTACCTGGTGGCGTGACCACGGCTACGCGGATGTATTTGCAAACTATTCTGAATGTCATTCGGAGACTAAGCTGTGGCATGGAAATTGCAATACTCCCATACCTGATGATTAGTAGTCCATAATCCTTTACGGTACGCTCTTTGAATATCGAATATATAAAAAGTCCTCTAATTTAGGTTTAATGTAAAAAATGGTGCTAAGAGACGTAAAGCGGGAATCTACAGACTGAAAACATTACGAAATTCTGCATGAGATGATATAAGACAATTCGTTTGTATGTCAATTGATTTAAACCATTCAAGTTTAAACCATTCCGCCCGAGATAATAATTAGAGAAAAAAATAGAAAATATATTATTTTTTAATTTTCTAAGATTAAATAGTTCATTGGAGGAGAGAATTTCGTTAATAAGATATAATAGTAAGACATAGTTATATTGAAAAAAAGATAGAACATGAAAAATTAGAGTTCCGCTTATATATAATATTTTATATATATATATATATATATATATATATATATATATATATATATATATATAGGGTGTTCCAAAACTGGTAGAACACCCGTTAGGGGTAGGTAGAGGGTGCAATTTGAAATTGAAAGTTCCTCTTGCATTTTTGAATCCGACAATTAGTTAACGAAATATTAATGAATTAAGTCTGCCAATCTCTTACCGTCCTGAGTGAGCGCTCAGAGACGTAGAACGCTGTGGACTTCTCAGGGGCCTTTCTTCTCCGTTTGTCTCCCCTTTTTGTATCATAAGGGAATAAATGTGGATGAGTGCCTGACCGGGACTAGGAGGGGAGGAGGGTGGCAAGTTTTCTGTATGTGGGAATAATGTGCGGGTGTTTTTGTGTGCGATCATGAGTGCATGGATAATTTGAATGTTTTTAGTGAAAATGGGCGGAATGATTGCGCTTTATATGCCAGAGGGGGAGGACATGTATGATATGCTTCTTTCGAGTGTGTGGGTGACTTGAATGTTTTCTGCACGTCGGTGGTTGAGTACAGTGAATAATTTTAGTGTGTGTGTGTATGGGGAATAAGGGGATGGGGAGTGTAAGTGATTTTCTTGCGTTGTGTATGAGAGGCACACAGCGTTCTACGTCTCTGAGCGCTCACTCGGGACGGTAAGAGATTGGCAGACTTAATTCATTAATATTTCGTTAACTGTCGGATCCAAAAATGCAAGAGGAACTTTCAATTCCAAATTGCACCCCCTACCTACCTCTAACGGGTGTTCTACCAGTTTTGGGACACCCTGTATATAATATATAGATAAGTTATATACAACTATATAATATATTATAATATTCTATTATAATATATAATAATATATTATTTTATTATAATATATTATATTATTATAAGTTAATATTATATATAAGCTTATATAACTATATTAATATATTATAATATTATATATATATATATATATATATATATATATATATATATATAT